GGACTGACACTAATTTACCTCATCCCAGTCTGATTTCTTGCCTGCCTGCCATTCGCTTTCTTAAAATTATTTAGTGAGTGTTTTGCTAAAAGCGTAGCCATTGTCCCCCATCTGTGCATAGCCTTTTATTATTTATTTATTTATTTATTTATTTATTGAGTCAGAGTCTTACTCTGTTCCCCAGGCTGAAGTGCAGTGGCATGATTGTGGCTACCACAGCCTCCACCTGCTGGGCTCAGGCAATCCTTCTGCTGTAGCCTTCCAAGTAGCTGGAACTACAGGCACATGCCACCACACCTGGCTCATTTTTCTTTTTAATTTTTCTTTTATTTTTATTGTAGAGATGAGGTCTCGCCAAGTTGCCCTGGCTGGTCTCAAACCCCTGGGCTTAGGCAATCCTCTTGTCTACACATCTCCAAGTGTTGGGATTACAGGCATGAGCCACCATACCTGGCCTGTACATAGCCTTTTAAGAAAATTCATCCATACTCCATGGCTGTGCCTAGGTAGCCTTATTTGTACACAGTGATCCCACCCCACTTCCCAAGTATTGTTTGACTAGGTAAATCTGAATCCAAGAAGAGACAACTGGGTTCTTTTCCAGGCTTTTTGCTGTTGGCATCTGGAAAGACCAAATTGTGAGGCTGTGTTGGGTGGCGGTGAAAAACACAGGTTTGGATACACAGCTGTTCATTTATGAGCAGTGTCATCTTGGATAAGTTTCTTATTTGCTCTGTGTCTGAGTTTTCCCATCCATAAAATGGAGAACCAAAATGTTTAAACAACTAAAAGAATTTTCATAACCACTAGGCAGCAAAACCTAACCCACCTGAATTAATTTGGTGGTAGTGACCTGACAAGAAGTTATGCTTTTTAAAAATCTGTTGGTTTAAATACTTATATTTTTCCCCCCACAGAATTATTTCCAGTGTGATTATGGAATCTAGCCTCAAGATTTTTGGAAAGGGACCAGTAGTATCTACCTCATGTTTTTGTTTTGAGGGTTAAGTAAGTTAAAATACATAAAAATGCTCAGTACAGTGCTTAGCACATGGTAAGTTCTCTATGTGTTAGCTCTGAATCTTACCTGCATAAGTTTTGTCTGCGTAGGTATTACTTTCTTTCAAGGAATAACTCACTTAGACAAGCACTCAGTAAGTGCTAGACGTTGTCTTAAGTTCTGGGGACATGGTAACTTTATTACCAAGATGGGTATAATGCCTCCCTGTATATAGATGATAGTCTCCACTAATTAAACTGGAAATTAAAATAAGATAATTGCAAATAGAGAAAGAATTGGGCATAAAGGTACCATATAATATTTTTGGGGCAGGTAAGCTTTCCCTAAGAAGTGATGTTTGAGGTGAGAAGTTTGCCAAGTGAAGAGATAGGAGATTGTTTCAGGCAGAGGACAGAGCTGATGTGGCGACTCAGAGGAGAGTTGAAGGAGTTGGGTTCCTGCTCTCTTGGAACCTCCCAATTTTAGTGGCTGCTCTGCCTGGAACCAGAGCCTGCCTTCTTGGGGAGGCTCATTGAAGGCTCACTAAACACCACAAGTAAAGAGAGACCAAGGGGAATGAGTGTTCCCAGTGGAAGGCTCTGGAAAGGAAGAAGGAAGTGCATGGACTGACCAGACCATGCCCATCTCAACATTCTGGAAAATTGCTTCTTAGGCAGAGGTGGCAAGATGCGTGAAGATTTTTCCAACTTCATATTGGAGAAAACATAAGGAGTGGATCAGAAGCATTCCCCATTCCTGACTCTCTGGCCCCATTCTGAACTTGCTGCGGGCTAGGATATCAGACCATCATGCTTTCAAAATTTCCTCTAAATTAAGGAGAAAATATATGCAGAGTAGTGGCCAGAGGAGTCTCCTCTAAGTAGTGTTTCCAGCGTAGTGCTTGGTGTGGGGCAGGAGCCAGTATATGTTAGTTACCCTTGAAATGTATTTAAAAAGAGGTGGGTGAACACCCCATCATCTCAAATGCTTCATCATTTTAAAGTTGAATAATTATTTCATAATATAATGTGAAAACTGATTAGCTTAAGGTAATGTTAAACTTCTAGTATTAATGACATTTTTCAATTTCAGTTATTTTCTATAACTTATATTTATTCTTGAGACTAATTTATGGGTTATCTTAGCTAATTTTTAATTCTTTCCTTTCTGCATTTGACTTTTGGCCTGCTACGACAGGCCATTCTTGGACAGAAAGTAGAAAGGAACATTGAGAAGGGAAATGACTTAAATTAATCTTTTACGGCTCATGTTGATTTTTCCTTTTGAGTCAAGGTCTCACTCTGTTGACCAGGCTGAAGTGTAGTGGCACGATCATGGCTCACTGCAACTCAGCCCCTGGGCTCAAGCAATCCTCCCGCCTCAGCCTCATGAGTAGCAAGGACGACAGGCATGTGCCACCATGCCTGACCTGTTATTTTTTAAATTTTTTGTAGAGACAGGGTGGCACCATGTTGCCCAGGCTGGTTTGAACTCCTGGTCTCAAGTAATCCTTCTGCCTTGGCCTCCCTGGGAGGATAGATATGAGTCACTATGTCCAGCATATTGTTGATTATTATATCACATCAGCCATGGTACTGTTTTCTATATTAAAAAAATTAAGAGCTAAACTAATAGTTTAAGTGTAAAATGATAAAAAATAAAAGGCGTGAATTCATGTTTGATATGTATTGTATTATTGTGAATAATTCATATTAAAGTTTAAAAAATTATTCTTTATAATTCAGCATTCATTATCTATAATAATGAGACTTTCTGGGACCCTGTCTTTTCACAAACAACTTTATTAGAGATTATTACCCTTCCTCATCCCCCTCCATCTGACACACTTGACATACTGATCCTCTTGATGGTCCAGGACGCAGGAACAGGATAGGAAAGCTGCCCAAACAATTCACTGTGAAAAACTGTAGTTCGGATTCTTCTATAAATAACATGCTACTTTGAAAAAAATTTAAACAGATGTTTATTCTAAATTTGCCTTGATCAGAGATAAATAATATCACTTTTTAAAATATTGCTGTTCTAAAGAGAAACAAATTATTTCTTTCATCTGCTTCCAATTCTTTATATGTTTGAGCATGTTGAGAGAGATTATGTCTTCATTCAGCCTTTATGTTTGAAAGTCTGTTTTCCCTTTCATCTTTCAGTCTCACTTTTATAGGCAGTTCCTATAATTAGACAGATAAAACAAAAAGTGAGAAAACCCTACTTTAGTAAGTGAAATCAGAATAACTATATTTGTTGGTATTTTTTTTTCAAAAGAATTTTGTTGGAAATATGTTGCATAAGTATCAACTACATGTGAATTAGACAAAGCAGTTTTTTTTGCGGGGGTTAGCATTTTTTAGGAATTCTAGGATTTCAAGTTGTCAAGATTAATCATAGTCCTCGTTTCATGATTACTTTCATTATTGGTCTCATTATAGGGCATGTTTTTATTTAGTGTTTTAAAGATTATTATACCACCTGTGAACCCAACACCCAAGTAAAAGCCAGGATCCTTTAGCTGGGCGTGGTAGTGTGCACCTGTAGTTCTGGCTACTTGGAAGACTGAGGCAGAAGGATTTGCTGGAGCCCAGCAGGTCGAGGCTGCGGTGGCCGGGAGCGTGCCACTGCATTCCAGTCTGGGCGACAGAGTGAGACTCCAACTCAAAAAAAAAAAAAAAAAAAAAGCCAGGATCTTGAGAATGAACTGTATCTAACCAGATGACTCACCCCGATCCTCCTGGGTCCCTATATTTCAGGTGGCCATTTTATTGAACTCAGTGTTCACTGGTCCCTTGTTTCTTTCTTTACATATTTTTAATTATATCTATGACTATTTCCTCAAAGTGCTTTTTAAATTTTGTTCTTTTTACTTCTATTAAAGTATGTATGTAATCCTTAGCATGTATTTTGTTAAACTTACTATTATATCACTAAGATGCTCTGTGTGGTGTGTCATATTTCATTCATTTTGACTCCTGTCTAAGGAGCGACTATGCCACTGCTGATTTGCCCATGCCTCCACTGTTGGAGAGCTAGGTTGTTGCTAGTCTTTACAATGGCTAACGGCTACTAGGAACATTCTTGTACATGGCACCTCCTGTTTTTACCTGTGAGAGATTCTCTTAGGAATAAAATACTGGGCCATGGGGTATATGCATTTTCAGTTTTCGGTGATAATGCCAACGTGTTTTCCAGAGTAACTGAACCTATCTGTGGTCATACAAACAACATCTAAGAGATCCACAGGTCTATATCCTCTTTGGCATTTGGTATTATCAGACTTTTAATTTTTGTCAATTAAATGAATAGGGAATGATAACTTATTAATAGCCTTCATTTTTATTTTTATTTGGTATTGAGCAAATTTATTTCCTCTTTAAAATGCCTGTTCTAACGTTTTGTCCATTTTTTCTTATTAAGTTACTGTTAAAAATCTGTTAAACATTCTTATATATTCCTTACAGTAATATTTTTTTGGATATATATGCTTTGAATATATTTTTCCAGTTTGTAAGTTGTCTTCTATTTTCTTTAAGGTATATTTAATGACCAGATGGTCTTAATTGTAATATCATCAGAATCTATTAATATTTTATGGTTCATACATTTTTGTAACTTAAGTAATCTTTTTCTAACCCGAAGTCCAAAAGAAATTCACCAATATCATCCACTAAGATGGTTTATTTTTTAGCACAGAAGACCTTATCTCCTCTAATACTATATATGTGATTCTTTTTTATTTAATGAAAGATTCAATTTCATCTCTTCTTTTCTATAAGGATTATTATTTTTAAAATCCCCATGTGTTAAACAATCTCTTCTTACTCCAGTGATCTGACATGGACCTCTGTCATAAGTCAAAGTTTCATAAACGCATGGATCCATTTCTGGACTTTTTATTCTATGCTGTTGTTCTGTGTGTGTATTCATCTTTTAATTTTAGACAAACATATACATACTTAGATTCTAAGTATTCTGATTTTCCCACTAGGTTTTGGACATAGTAAAAACAAGTATTCGTACAGTTCTTCCACGCATCTGGAAAGTACCTGATGTTGAGGAAGTAAATCTATATCGGATTTTCAACCGGGTTTTTAATCGCTTGCTCTGGAGTCATGGTCAAGGACTGTGGAACTGTTTCTGTGATTCGGGGTAAGTTCTGAGTCATCTTTTATAATTGTAATTTTTAATATTTTACTATTTAGTTATAGAGGCAGCCTGATAATATGGTTGAATTTCTTGAATGATCTTTTTTAAAATGGAGGGGTTTTTTTTTTGCTACATATTATTTTTAGTACTAAACTATAGTTTATATCACTGAAGCTCATTTAGATAAGATGATGACGGTGAACATAACCCCAGCTAACTAACTTGAATTCGGTTGAAACGAGATAGTCTTAATTAAAGAAAAAAAGTTACAAACCAGTATCTTTGAAGTTGTTCAGCTGTTGCCTTTATGTTGCAGAATTCTAAAATTAGGGCTAACCTCCTGCTTCCCAGAATCACAATGGAGCTAAAGCCACTGTGACTCATTGTCATTTTAGCCTCAAAATATCTAAAACCAAATGTCCATGCCCTTTTATTTGGAAATGGCTTCTCTTCCTGGCTTCTCTTAGTCCTGTTGTAGCTGTCCCATGCATACACGCTTGCTATTGAAGGGGCATTGCATCTTCCTTTTCATTTACTGTATTCGGTCATTTACTGAATCCAGTTAGTTTTTTCTTTCACACGCCCACTGTGGTTATACTTGATTGTTTTCTGTTCATTCTTTCAACAGTTATCAAGCACTTACCATTCTGTTAGCTATTTTTGGATACACAAAGTTGAATCTGACACAGGCCTTGCCCTCAAGAAACTCGATAGTAGATAACTATACTACTTACTGTGTGCCAGTGACTGTTCTCATCACTTTATATGTGTTAAGTAGTTGAATCTTCATTACGTCAACTTGAGTCAGTTTCTATATGACCTCCATTTTATAAATTAAAAAAAAAAAACGAGGCCCGGATAGGTACTGAGGATATAGTAGTACTGGAGTTTGAACTCAGCCTTGACTCCGGAGTTCATGCTCTTACCAATAAACCCTGATTTTCTAGCAAATAACATATAATATATACAAAAGTAACCATCTTTTTAAAACAGACACAGATAAAGTATGACAGGATTTCAGACAAAAGGAGCCTTTTTGGGTAGAAGGACTGGGTGAAATTAATAGATTTCTAGGCATTTTTCCTTCCAATTTTTTCTTTCCTTTATCCATTTGAACTGTCATGGTCATTTCCTAAAATCTGTAGTGATTTCCCTCATTTATCATTAAGCCTTTTATCTACAGATAGAAGGTCAACATGCTGATTTTTTTCTTATTTCTCCAGTCTTCTCTTTCATTACTCCCCTACTTGAACTCTGCTCCAGAAAGAACAGTTCATTGTTTTTCAGATCTTTGAAAAGTTTGTCTTTTTCTTCTTCTGAGCTGTCGATGTCAGTGAGTATCTGGCTGGACCGCTTTCCACAATCGTTTCCCTTCCATCCCCTCTGCATTCTTTGAATTCTATATCTAGCCCGATACTGTAGTCATCTCTTCTTGACTATTCTACTCTGAAATGGTCTCGGAATGTTCTCCACTTAAATACTCTAGCCGTCTGATAGTGAATCATTCATACGACTTTCAGGCTCATTCTTACCATCGTCTTTTTCCTCAGCTGCCATTCACCAACGGGGAACTCATAAGGCACTGTGATGAAATCTGAGAATAATCCTGGCTATAAATTATTTCTGCAGACACTTCAGTGAAACATGTGAACTCTACTCCACAGCCCCTTAGTTGATGGCTCACTGTAAATGTTCTCCCAATCAGAACTCATAATTAGAATGCTTTTTCTCTGTTGATCCATTGGTTTGATGCTTTATATGGATCCTAGCTGCTGTCTACCACAGAAGGCAATGGGACAATCTGTTACTAAAACCGGTGCTGTGGCTTTGAGTCCAGGGATGATTTCCAATGCCAGACCCTGAAGATGCCTTCAAAGTGCTACTTTCTTGCCTCTGGGGCGCCTCTTTCCTGAACCATTTCACGAGCATACTCTAACTTGATCCCAAGCCCTGTTCTCCTGTCTCTGGCACATGATTCCCCCCTAACTTCTCTGGTGGTATCTAGTACTACTAGTAATCATTGTGATAGCCAATAACGTTTGTTGAAGGCTTACTATGTGTCTGACACCGTTTTACATATTAAGTATTTGTATAATCGCCACAAAACTATTTTTGAGATTATCATTATATTCATTTTACAGACGAGAAAATTGAAGTGTAAACAGAGTATATAACTTACCCACGTTTCCATAGTAACTGAATGAGCCTGCATTCAAACCCAGGTAGTCTGACTCAAGAGCCGACACTCTAAGTATGTTACTGACTCTCCCTGAAGCAGATTTGCCAGTGGTTGCCCGTTTTGCTGCACTGCAAGCCTCATAGCATTAGCCAGATTCCTAGCCCATTATGTCAGGGCAGGGTGAGCAGGAGTAGTTTCAGGTCCAATCTGACTCTGCCCACTCCTTTCAATTAGTCTGTAGAGGTGAATTTAGCATCAGGCTTTATTTTGCGTCTTTATGAATGAGTTTCTTCGACCTCCTCAATGTAATGAAGTCGCATAGTACTGTGTGTGTTCGTTTCTCAGTTTGGACTCACAATAGTTCCACATTATCCTGTGAACCACATATCACCAGTGTATACTCCTTGAACCTTTGGCCTAACAGCCTAGCAGTCATGGTGAAAATCTGCTCTTCTCACTTCTAAAGGAATGATTAGTAGAAGTTTCGGCATTCTTTCACAGTTAGCTGTAAAGTCATGGAAAAAAATATAATTAATGTAACTGGGTCTCCTTGATTCCTACCTTTGCCTGTCAACACTCCCAATAATAAAATAAAGTAAGGAAACCATCTCCTGTCCACCTCCAGGAACATCAAGGAGTAACGTATACCTCTGTGGCAGTTTTCCCTAGAATTGGCCCAGGGTTTTTACTGATACGTCAAGCAGAAAACACCCTTGTCTAGACTGCTGAAACCTATGCCCAGTAAACTTTTTTTCACATGCAGCCTCCTGGGGGTGTTACAATGCCCCACATTCTGAATATGTTCTCTTTAGGGAAATAGCTCTTGGAATTTTCATGAATAAAATTATCTACCATGTCTTATTGGGATAGGAGAAGACTAAGGTTCTATGGGGATCAAACTCAGGCCTGAGAGTTCAGGAAAGATGATCGTGGGAAGTAACATTTCAGCTGAGAATTGCAGAAGGAATAGTTTGCCAGGTAAAGCAAAGAGGTGGAGTCAGGGGCTAGTATGGGAGAAGGAATGAATGGTTTGGAAAAACCCATTTCCTCTTAAAAACCTGATGCAATAACCCCAAAGAAAAGAATCGGACTTGGACCCTTTTACCCAAAGTATTTTCCTGTGGGAGTGAGTCCTTTATCAGTGAAAGCAGGTTTTTGACAGCTTCTCTTGTGTTTTCGAGGTATAGGATCATATAAAAACTGTAAAGGACAAACATATGAACTTTGCAGTTACTTGGATGGATTTAGAGTCTATCATACTCAGTGATCTTTGTTTCTCACAGAAACAAAGAACAGAGTACCACATGTTCTCACTCACGTTCAGTGGACCCTGAACATTTACCATAATACTATAAGAAAGGTATTGGCAGTAGCAGGATACTGCTGGGGTGGGGTGTGGGGTATACCTGATCTCAAAACAGGTAAAGTGGGGACCAAAGGGAGGCCCAAACTTTACCTGTATGTTGACCACTTGCATACCTAACTCTGAATTGTACCTCACATCTTTAAAAGAAAGGAAAAAAAAATGTGTACATAACAGAGATTACTTAAATATGTGAATCTCCTTGTTGTCAAATCACTTTCAATAGGATGTGTTGTTCTTAATACTTTTCAGTGTTGTGTTGGAATTATTCAGTTAGTATGTTGTCCTTATGCAGTATATATACTTGACTTTCTTGTCTTCTTTCTGCTGTTTAACTTTGGGCCACTGAATCGTCAGTTACGACTTCTACCAGAGAAGAAAAGGATGAATCAGTTTAACTCTTTAGATAACTGCTTTATTAAACGTTCTGATGATTAAAGCAGATGAAGATTATGAGATTACTGGATAGTCTGAGGATTTTTAAGTCTCTGGACTTCATTAGTAACTCTCCTTTGTTGCCGAAGTTACTTAGTATTCCATACCTTATTGTTATGTTACTAAATAAAAGTAATTTCCTTTCATATTTTACTGAGGATTAGAGAGAGCTAGAACTTTTGAATGACTTAATTTTTCTTTTTTTTGGTAAAGAATTTTAATTTTAATTTAATTTCATTTTTTTTTAGCTTAGCAATATGGGGTACAATTCAGGATTGGGTAGATAAGGTGTCATCGTACAGGTAAAGTTTGGGCCTCCCTTTGGTCCCCACTTTTCCTGGTTTGAGATCAGGTACCCTTATTCATGTTATGTGGCTCCCCCTCCCCCACCCCTGGCACTTTCCAGCTACTGCCAACCCTTTCATATAGTATCGTGTTAAATGTTCAGGACCCACATATGAGTGCGAACATGTGGTACTCAGTTCTTTGTTTCTGTGATAGATCACTGAGTATGATGGACTCTAAATCCATCCAAGTTGCTGCAGAGTCCATAATTTTGTCCTTCTTCGTGGCTGCGTTATATTCCCTTGTGTACATGTACCACATTAAAAATTTTATCTTTTACAATTCATAGATTTTAATGTTCCCATTTCCTCGGAATTTAGATTCAGAAAATTGGTAGGTGATATTCTGAGTTCTTTGATAAAAGAACGAATATTTTTCACTATATTTACTTCCTTTCGTGTTAATAAAAAGCCTTTGTGCTGCTAGTATTGAAAATTGAAATACTGTAGTATTACAGAGGCATTTCCCATCTACTCAGCTATGCCAGGTGACAGCAAGGAGCAGGAGGAGGACAGAGTTCTTAACTTGGGTTTCCTTTTCCTTTGTATAGTGGGGGCACCATCAACCTAGAGCCAAGTGAAATAGGTGTCATTCATTTTCTTCATGATGGGTTTTGGTGGGCTGACACTTAAATATGGGTTAATAAATAAGGCATTTAGCCAGTGGTGGTAGATATATGCACCAGAAATAAGTATGCATAGGACCTTGATTTATTTTAAATATTTAAGGAAGACGGAGAGAAGAGAAACCAAAGCTGGTCATATTAGAACTCACATATTATTCAGAAAGTTATGTCTAATTTGAGCGTTCTGGAAGAAGCCTTGTTATTTTCCTTTCTGTTTGTTTGTTCTTTTTCTGCCTTTAGACCCCAACTAACGTAAAGGAAAAAGACTATAATGTGAGTGACCTGATAGATCTAATCAAATGGTTCTAAAATATCAAAAACATTAAAAAAAAAGTAAATTCAAGTTAAGAGTGGAGGGTGGTGGAGGAGGTAGACTTTAGTCGACATACCCAAAATCCGAGCAGAAAGAAAAGTGCTAGGTGTATAGTCAAAACACAGGATGTTTTCTGTGTTTATTTACATTTATGTGAAATTTTTATTTCTCTGTGCCCAGACACGTAAAGCTTGCTAGATTAAAGGATATTAATTATCAACATATTCCCTAATTAATTTGTTTTCTACAATTTTTTCCTTGATTGAACTAGGTAAGTTGATTTTATATCTAGATCTACCTCTATATATCTTGATAAATATGCATATATCATATCCAGTTTTTCTTATATTTAGTAATAATTTACATTTTATTAGTAGTGTTAATTTAACTAGCATATTTCTGTTTCTTGAATGAAAATAACTTTTACTCTTTTGTCAATTAAGAAAAGCACAGTATTATATTAGTTTATTATATTTAGTCCCAAACATCTCAGAACACCGAAGAAAATTTATTTCTTTCATTTACCTGATTTGAATCTTATTCCCATTAAGAAAACCTGTTATTCACTGATGACATGCTGTCTATGTGGGACCATGTTTCTCCTGAAAAAAATAAATACTAACTTTTCTAGTAAAAAAATACCTCTCTGTGTTTCTAAAGCATTTTTTACAAATTTCAAATATATCAAATATCCAAAGGTTGAAAATGGAGTCTTTGAATCTCCCCTTGGGAAGTACATTTCTTCAGGAAAATATTTTTCTTAATATTTTTTTTCCTTTCTGAAAGTCTCCTCTTTTCTCTCTGAGGGGGATATGAATTGGTTTATGTAAAATGAGATGTGAACCATTACCAAGTCTCAAACCAAACTTTCCCCTGGAAGCTTGAAAAGAGTTTCATTTACACTAAGGAATAAACTTTCTCTCTGGCTCTGGCTCTCTCTTTCTCAGGTGGTGCCATCATGGTAAACTTAGGAATTGTACACACACACACACACACACACACACACACACACACACACAAGGCTTACCAAGGAAGTGTCATCATTATCTACTTTGGAATAAGCTGAGTGCACAGAAGAAGGAAGGACACTACTTTTGGGATTGCAGTAGGGCAGTACTTGTGAAGACAGAATTACTTCCAGAGTATAAAACCTGTGCTCTAGGAATATCATGGATATAATCTGTCTAAAAGTGTTTTGAAAGGGGTGATCATAATCAAGGGATTAACCTAAATTCTTCTAGTCACAAATTGTGTTGCAGCGACCTTTTAATCCTTCTGCATGAACATCATTAATGTTAAGGTAAATACACATTTCTAGAAACCTAAACTTATAAAATACTTAATTTTTGAGAAATTACCTTAGTGTTTTACAAATATTTTAATATAGTGTAACTCCAACAGTTGACAGCATTAAAAGCTTTAAAGACTGTCAGATGTGATGGCGTGTGCCTGTAGTCCCAACTACCCAGGAGGCTGAGGCAGGGGAGGATTGCTTGAGGTCATGAGTTAGAGGCTGTAATTGCTATGATCTCGCCTGTGAATAGTCACTGTACTTCAGCCAGGGCAACATAGTGAGATCCCATCAACGCACACACAAAAGACAAGTGGTTTATAAATTCAGTGTCGTGGTTTCTTTCTTTTTTTTTTTCTATTTTATTTTCATTTCCCAATTTGCATTTATTATATGCTTTTCAACTATCCATAGTTATTGCAAATGTGTGAAGCCATTTCTACTTTGCTTTATCGATTTGTTGCTAGGTAAGTGATATAGCTTGTTGCCATTTTTAACAGTGAATATGAGGTCATGTCTGTTTCCATGCCAACAGATCCTCCTGGGAGAGTATATTCAGTAAAAGCCCTGAGGTGGTGACGCCTTTGCAGCTTCAGTGTTGCCAGCGCCTGGTTGAGCTTTGTAAACAGTGCCTGCTAGTGGTTTACAAATATGCAACTGACACGAGAGGATCACTCTCAGGCCTTGGCCCTGACTGGGGTCACTCCAGGTACTTGTTCACATTCTCTAGCCCCTGTGAGTTTTGTATAAAGTAATGCCAATGCACAATTTGAAATTGAGAGTCTCCTTTTGCTTGTAGGGCTGGAGAAAAAGCTAAAGATTGGACATCCATGCATGCTAGTATCTACAAAATATTTTTAATTAGCACAGTCTTTACCTTTAAGGGACAGAACAAGGATGACAGTCACGAACCTACAGGTGATAGAATATGTGTGGAAATGAGATTATTTGGCTTATATATTTTTGCTTTCAAAATCCAAGAGTAGGGGCATTCGAAAGTAGGATAATACATTCAACTTTTGTTCCCCAGTAGGGATATCTCAGCATTTTTTCTTGAGCCTGTGACAGTCGGGAAGATGCCTTTGGTTTAATTTTTATTGTTTAGTATGCCTCTACTCCTCCATTACCAAACACATTTTTAGGAGGTAAATTTTTGTGAAGTTCTATTTAAAAATTGAGTTTTATAAATGTTGTTCAGTTAAATGTTGTTCAGTTTTCCAAAAGCACAAAAAACAGTATTGTTTTTAAGCTACACGTGCAGAGTAAATAAGAAGTACCCTTTAACATTTTTCAAGACAATTCTAGTTCTCATCAGGAATAAAGATGAATATGTAACTTTAATTTTAAGTTTTGTAAGTTCTAGTACTACTCAGGGTAAAATAAATTTAGCCATGGTTTTGAAATCTAAGTGATAGTAAAAAAAAAAAATCAATGAATAGCTGAATAAGCAATGAGAAGAACAGATCAACTAAAGCTTGGATTTTCTTTTTTGGAACATTTAGAAACTGATCTGTTTATTTAAAAGATCTCAAGGAGTATAATAAAACTTTTTATAAAAGTATAAAAGCAGAATGGCTCAGAATATTTTTCACAGAAAGTATTGATATATATTTAATCTTTCTTTGTCTCAGATTCTGTCATTGTACGATTGCAGGACCTTTAACCTGTTTTAACTCTTCTGCAACTATAAGTTGATTGATCACAACAATAATAGAGATAAAGTTGACCATTAGTATCATCAACAAGGGTACCTGCATAATGAACATTTGCGTACCTAACCCTGAATTGTACCCCACATCTTTAAAATAAAAAATTTAAAAAAATAAAATATGTAAATATAACAGTTATATGCTACAGTTTTAACGGCTTAACTGAAGCAACTTATTGAAATAAGACCCTGATTACTTTCATTAATATTTCCATATGATTTTAAAAAATGATAGCCATATTTTAGACATTATGGCATATAAATGGAGAGCTTTCTGTATAAGGGATAATATTCTGGAATCATGATCAAGAAAACCTTAAATTCCAGTCTAGGAGGTAGTTCATTCAGGCTCTGTAATGTCACTCCTGCAATTCTAGATTTTATTTCCCAAATTCTGTTGATGGATGCTGTAGTTTTGTGAGTAGTCAAAATAGGATGAGTCTTCCTGGTTACTCTTTATATTTGCTTCAGACCTTTTTATTTTCTTCCCTTCCTGGTGGTCAGAAGAGATACTCCTGACCTTGGAATCCTGATGTCTGGACTTCTGATAAATGTTCAAGATGACCCCAGTATTGTGATTATAAGCATTCTGGCATGTCAGTAAACTTTCATTCCTGCCCAAGTTGAGAACCATTGGAGAGAGAAATACAGGAGTCAAGCGGATGGTCATCAAAATGTAGCTCTATTATTGATTAAAGTTACAGTAAGGGATATGGCGTAGATGTAATCCAATGAGTTTTCTAATATTAAATTTCAGAATTAAACTTATCCACCCAGTCAAAGGCAGAGTGAGATCAAACTCAAGCCTTCCTCTGCTACTACTCCCTCAGTGTTGGCAGGAGAGCAAGAAAGAATGCATTCTCTCTGTAGGAAGGCTGAGCCAGAAAGAAAAAGAGCCTGAATGAAGCATGCCTGTTTTCTTTTCTGAAACCCACAGATCAGTTAACTCAGTTCTGTCAAGAGGCCAGGAAGTGTACACTAGTGAAAGTTCTTCTACATGGAAACATAAGGCGTGGAGGGAAGTAAACATTTCTCCCCATCTAGCTATTAAAACCCAAGTCAACATCACATTAATTTAAAACCATGTAAAAAGTGGCCAAATCTTCTTTCCCTCATAGATAAATAGGGGACCATATAGCATTTTACTTAGATGTAGAAGTCACTTTGTATTTATTAATAGGTTGATAAATTTCATTTATGAAGTACACTTGATAAACTATAAATAAATATAAATTACAAACATATAAATATAAACATATGTAATATAAATAATTTATGAGGCATACCTAAATAATTTATTATTAGATACATTTTTGATTAATTATCTGTAAAATTAAAAGAGAATAAAATAGAGCTAATATAGTCAAGTTCATAGACCATGTTTATCTTGACAAGCAATCTACAGGATATCTCTTAAGAAGCTTTAAAACATATATAGCATCCATTATGTGGAAGAGAGTGGTCTTCAACCTTGCAGTCTTAGAAAAATAATAATTTAATGTGTACACCATGAAAAGCTATTTCTTAGGTGTGGACTCAATAATTAAGCAAATAGAACTGACACAAAAAGCCAGATGATCAATTAGAAATAGAAACACATACACACACACACACACACACACACACACACACACACACACACACACACACACACACACACACGTATGTATTCACACAGTACTAAACTTCTTGTGACCAGGCCAATATCACTGTAACTGGGCTTTCTTGGGAAGTTTTGAGATCCCCAACCACTTTCAGCCTCAGCATTTCTGTGTTTTTAATCTTTGATTTTACTGAACTTTTATATAAGCTTACTTCACAAGGGGTTTCCTGGCTAAAATAATTTTTAAAAACCACCTAGTTAGTACTTCTACTCCTGGTAATTGAGCTTAGTTATTTGGACAAATCTTCCTTCTGCTAACAACTAGAAAAGCTGTACAAAATAGCACAACATTTTCTTGAAGACATCAGAGCATTAACTAGGTACTTGTTAGTGAGAACCTGTTAGCACTAAGAAGTGCACTTGTCAGTCTTAGGGGTCTCGGGAAAAAGGAGGAGCCCAGGACCTGTCAAAGATAGAGGCCTTAGTAAACACTCTAGTTTCCTCTGAGTAACAGTGATAGTTACAAAGCAAAGTTGCCAGAACTAAAAGGAAAAGTAGACAAGTCTGCAACCACAAAGGGAAATTTTAATAATTGTTTCTTTGGTAAAATAATCAGTAAAGATACAGAAAATTTTAACCATACAATTAACAGATTTGAGTGTAGTATACAGAAGTAAATCTCATAACTTGGAAATACAATACACTAAGCATATTAAGAAATTTCTCGAAATCATCCATGTAGTGGAATAAAAAAACAAACTTCAACAAATTTCAGAAGATCAAAATCATTCAGTTTTTTTTTTTTTTTTTTTTTTTTTACTATAATGACTTTAAGCTGGAAAACAACAATAATCAGAAAATCTACACTTTGGGAAGTTAAAAAGTACACTTTTAAATAACTCTTGAATCAAAGAAGTCATAATGGACCTAAAAATATTTTGAACTATACAATAACAAGAATATTATAAATAAAACTTGTAAAATATAGCTAAATAAATATTATAAGGATATTTATAGACTTAAATTAGCATATCAGGAAAGTGGAAAAGCAAAAATTAAATCTAAGCAACCATCTTTAGAGGTGAAAAAAATGACTTTAAATAAACCCAAAAGAATATAGAAAAAGGAAAAAAATAAAACTGAAACATAGAACAAAGAAAACAAACACAGCCCAAAGTAGCTTTTAGAAAAGTTTTATAAACTTGATAAAACACTTGTGAGCATTACTACAAATCTTACACTTACTTAAAACTTGCTAAGAAAATATTATAAACAATGTTATGTGGACAAGTTTGGTACTTTAGATGAAGTTAACAAATTCCTAGAAAGATATATTACCAAAAGTGACACAAGAAGTAATAAAGTCCTAAATACTCATAATGACTGAGGAAATTAAATCAATAATTAATAGCCCTCCCACAAAATAACTCTAGGTGTAGGTGTCTTTATTTTCTAACTATATCAAACTCATCCAGAGAATAGAGAAGGAAGGAACACACTCCAACTTGTTTTATTTCTTTTTAATTTTTATTTTTTCCAACTTGTTTTATGAGGCTACCATACCTTTGATCAGGATATTATGAAAGCAAAGTGACAGTTCAGTTGCATGCCTAAATACAGTTGCAAAAGTACTAAGCCAAATATTAGCAAAATGAGATAATACATCATGACCATCTTCTGCTTATTGCCTCAATTTAAAGAGGCAATAATATTAGAAAAGTGATCAATGTACTTTGCTACAGAAACAGAGTAAGAAACCAATTTTAAAAGATACAGATAAATCACTTGATATAATTTAATATACATTCATGTTTTTGAAGCTAGAAGCAAAAAAAGAAATTCCTCAGTCTGGTGAAGGATAACTACAAAATCTTACAGTAAACATACCTACTATTGAAATGTTGAAGGCTTTCCTTCCATGAAGAACAAGACAAGACTGTCTGTTGTCACAGTTTCTATTTGGCATTTGTACTGGAGGTCCTAATGAGACAAACAAACAAAAGGCATTAGATTGGAAAGAACTAAAAGTCATTACTAGTAGATATGATTGTGTTCATGCAAATCTAAATAAATCTGTGATGAATTATTAAGTGAATTTAACAACTCTGATGAAATAAAAGTCAATATAAGAAAATCAATTGTATTTTTCTGTATCAACAACAAATAGCTAGAATATAAAGTTTTAAATATTGTTCAATAGCATGAAATAATATTTAATACTTAGGAGTAAGTTTAATAAGTAAGGCATTTATGTAGGAAAATATAAAAATGGAAATATGTAGTATTTTTGGTGGAGGGAATCATTTGACCAAAGCTTGTTATAACTTTTGTACAGAAAAACAAAGGACCAAGAATAGATAAGAAAATCTTGAAATAGAACAATAAAATGGTAGGATTTAGTAACTACAGTGTCCCAAAGACTAATAATAAAATTCAATTTAAGATAGTGCAGTTTGGCAGAAGGCTAGACAAACAGGCCAATGGAACCACTTAGAAAAGCTATAACCCAACCCAGGCCTAGCTGAAGACTTGATTTATGATAAAAGTGGGGGTACACTTGATTTATGACAAATAGGAAGTTTGTTTAAACAAGTGATGCTAAGAATATTGTATTTCCAAATAATAATAGAAACTAAACTTTACCCATTCCATAAACAAAAAATCATTTCCAATTGAATTGAGTATATGTATATATAAATACTGAAATCTTTAGCTTTGTCTTCTATGTATATATGTTGAATTGTGTCAATTCAACATATATATATAGAAGACAAAGCTAAAGATTTCAGAAGATAATATAGGAGAATATTTTCATGACCTTGAGGTATGCAAAGATATAAAAATAGGACCAAAAACTACTAGTCATAAATGAAAAGATGAATATATTTGACTTAATTTAAAATTAAGAACATATGTTTATCAGAAGACCCTATTAAGAGGTGAAAAGACAAGTCACAGGATGGAGGAAGGTATTTGTAACCCATATTATCTATAAAAATTATTACACAGATTATATAAGATTATATGAGAACTCCTACAAATTTGTAAGAAAAAAACAGATCACTCGAGAAAAATAAGGAAGTTACTTGGGAAAAAAAGACCAATAAACATTTGAAAAAACATTTAAGCTAATTAATAATGAGGGGAATGGAAAATCACAAAGACACTGCATATCCATCACTGTATACCCAGAGTCGACATCAACTGGGTTACTCTGCTGATGAGAGTGAAAATTGGTACCTTTTACCAACAGTTCAGCATTGCATACTAAAGTCTAACCTTTTCATAGCTACTCTGCCCCCAGTAAATTCTTAGCAGAGCTGTGTGCTCATGTGTACCAAGACCCTTATTAGAATGGTCTTAGTAACATTTACTCATATTAGTTAAAAATTTTTAACAACTCAAATATCCATGCAAGAATGTACACTTTGAGCCAAAGAAGCCAAATTCAAAGGAATATATATATTTTGCCCATTTATTTAATAATACAAACAGATAAAACTAAATTATAGATTTAAGGATGTATACTTAAGCAGTAAACAAGGAAGTAATTACCATAAAGATCAGGATAGTGGTTAACTTTATGGGGAGGGAGGGTACTGCCATACAGGGCTTTGGGATGCTAGGAATGTTCAATTAGCTAACATGGGTGGAAGTTGTACAAGTAATCATTTATGATACTCATTAAACTGGACGTTTATATTTTATGCGCTTTTCTGAACATGTCTTATGCTTTACAATTAGAAAAGTTTTTTTTTTTTTTTAATGAGTAGCACTATTTATGGCCTTAGGCTAAGATAGTTCAATACATCTGAAAACAGGGATATTCTGACTAGTGAGGCTGATGTCCATAATGCATACATTATAATGTTCACTCATCTACACTGTTTCATTGGCCTCATACTCTGAGCCAGACATAACAGAAACAATTGGAATTATTATTATTATTACCATTATTATTATTATTATTATTTGAGTTGGAGTTTCACTCTGTCACCCAGGCTGGAATGCAGTGGCGTGTTCATGGCCACCACAGTCTCTACCTGCTGGGCTCAGGTGATCCTTCCATCTCAGCCTTCCAAGTAGCTGGAACTACAGGCATACGCCATCATGCCCAGCTAATTTTTTTTTTTTTTTTTATTGTAGAGATGAGGTCTCACCAAGTTGCCCAGACTGGTCACAAACCCCTGAGCTCAGGTAATCCTCTCACCTCGGCCTCCTAAAATGCTGGGATTATAGGCATGAGCCACCACTCCCGGCCCTGTTGGAATTTTTAACAGCAGTTGAGAAAACTGAGGCTTAATTTGGTTAACTGGTTTATCCAAATCCACACTGGTAGCATGTGGCATAGGCGGAACTTGAAACCAGAGTTTCTCCCTACCTAAAATCAAAGTTAAGACCGTGGGATAATGCTCATCCACTAGGATGGCTGTTATTGTGAAAATGAAAAATAATAAGTGTTGGCAAGGATGTGGAGAAGTTGGAAATCTCACGCATTGCTGGCGAGAACATAAAACAGTGTGACAGCTGAGGAAAACAGTTTGCCAGATTCTCAAAAAGTTAAATATAGAATTACCATTGTGACCCAGCAATTTTGCTCCTAGGTATAAAATACAAAAGAATTAAAAATGAGGACTCCAACAGACACTTGTACACCAATGTTCATAGCAGCATGAGTTACAATAGCCCAAATGTGGAAACAATCCAAGTGCTCAACTGGTAAATGACTGAACAAAATATAATATACACATATAATGGAATATTTACTCAGCCATAAGATGGACTGAGATTCTGATACATGATACAGCATGGATGAACCTTGAAAACATGCTAGGTCAAAAGTCAGACCCCAAATGGACAAATATTGTGATTCCACTTATATGAGGTATGTAGAATAGAGATAGAAAGTAGAATAGATTTCACTGGGGTAGGAAGGAGAGGAAGTGGGAATTTAGTGTTGAATGGGGAAAGAGTTCATATTTGGGACGATGAGAAAGTTCTGGAATTAGTGGTGCAGGTTACATAGCATTATGAAAGTACTTAAAACACTAAATTGTACACTTAAAATGGTAAAAAGCGGTACATTTCATGTTATATATTTTACTCCAATAAAACTTTTTAAAAATGAGACAAATATTCTTATGAACTTTATTTACCCTGAATTCCTCAAACCAGGAACTTGAGTTTATTCTGGAGAGATCAGGGATCCCCTGATCTTACTGCAAGAAGAGTCCAAAAGGTGGGTATAGCTTGTGTTTTCAAGGTTAATTCTCTACCAGTCATGAAATGCTTCATGTTGTAGACATCCAATCATTGGCAATAAGTTGGTACATAAAAGACCAATTGTACATCAATCAGGAATTACAAAAAATGCAGGCTCTATGTCTGTGTGATGATTATGTAACGATGTGTACAGCTAGACTTAGGGATGAGTAGTGAGCCTGTGTGTGTGAGGCCAGTGGAGGGAGGGTAATATGAGGTATTTTTTTCCCATAGCATGAGTTAACTGTGCACTAGTTTTCTACCTTGAGAATAAGCTAGGAAAAAAAAGGCCATAAATTTTTTACATTTTTGGTACTTTACACAAGTTCTTTAGATATAGTCTATAAATCTACTTCTGGATATAGTCTTCCTGCTTTAAAAAAAATCAAATTATTTAACATCATTGCAAAGAGCATTTCAAAAGTAATCTTTGATATTCAGCTAGTGTGGGGTCTCCCAAGAGATATTAATGGAGATACAAAGGCAAATAATCCATTGTATTTTCCTATAACACTTCAAAATATCTCACAGCACTTGCATCAGGGAAGCAAAATGTTTCTTCCGGTGTAATTCCACATTTTTTTTTTAGTTCATGCTGAATTTCTTTTTCCTTTCAAGTCTTAAAAAACAGTCAGCTTACCTTTTTCTGCTTCCATTAAAAAGTTTAGATTTTGAATGCATATTTTTCTACTTTCCAGGTTATTTTATACATCATATTTCTGGAAAAAAAAGAGTATAATAATTGTACCCACGAGTTTTTAAGTTGGGATTCATGTACAATGAAAGTTTTGTTGAAAATTGTGTGAAAATGTTGTCATGACAACATAATATGGTTGCTAAGGGAACTGATTCTAGATCTCACCTATAGGGATTTGAATCCTGTTTCACCAATGACAAGCTATGTGACCCTGGTCAAAGCATTAGGCCCTTTATGCTTCATGAAGTTTATTCATCTGTGAAATGGAGTTAACAATAGTGTCTATCATATTGAATTGTGATGAGAACTAAATGAGCTCATAGATGTAAAGCAATTAGAATAGTGCTGGGCACTAAGAAAACACTACTTAAATCTTTGTTCGATAAAGTAACATGTTAGCTGTAGTCCTGGACTTTGTACTTTTTTTTCATGTGCAAAGTGGAGATTTTTATCTCAAAAGTTTATATGAATGTTACTGAAATGTCAATTGTACTACTGCTTGGAAATTCTTTGAAAGTTGGTAAAAGTTCCACTTTGTCATTATTGGTGCAATCATAATGCATGTTCAATAGAAGATAGAATAACTCTCCTCTAATGCAGAATAGTGGATTTTGATCAAACACTTTTTTTTTTTTGCACTTTTGCCCTAAATAGGAAAGGTAGCCTTTCGTGGCAGAAGATATTACTCATCTTGACTCTACCAAGTCTTGACATAATAATTAATAATATAAATTACCTGAGTGATATTAAGAAAATAATTTATATAATCTGTGATGTGAGAAATCAATTGTTTCATTATTCATTACCCATTATGCAATTTTGATTTAATTTAGTTTGTTTTATATTATCTTACTGCTCTATTAACATAATGATTTGAGCAATTATTTATAGTTTGTGATATTAGGTAAAAGATTTAGAGGATATTTTAGATAATTTATGATAAAGTGATGTTTATGGATATTATAGAAAATTCTGAATGCTGTCTGCAGTTTGACTGTAATGAGTTTCTTTTCTTTCTACAAGATTCATGTAACAACTATCAGTGTACACAGAGGTATCATAGATGTCAATATTATCTAACATAGAATAGGCATCTAATAGTGCCTTGAGCCCTCAATTTTTTTTATATATCTATGGAAGTATGGTACTGTCACTGGTGGATTCTGATGCCAACTGAAGACAATGAAATAAGTGACTAGATACTTTACTACTATTTATTTTTCCAAGACCACCACTAATTACAAATCTTCTGTTGCTACTTCTGCTCTTGGAAATTCCTTGTAAATATCTTTGTCCTGACTATGGCACATTTTTCTCACCATTACTAGGACTTATACTTTGAATAGTGTTGTTTATTTGCATTTGTTCGTGTGAATTTCCTTGACCATTTCTCTCTAGACATATAGAATGAACTGGCCTAATACTAATCAAAGCTTTTTCCAGAAAAACAAAATTCATATGTGCACATTCTCTTATTTGCAATTTCTGATTTCCAAAGCATTGAAAACTTTGTATAAAGTAGTTGGGGAGCAGAAGCTCATGCCTGTAATCCCAGCACTTTGGGAGGCAGAGGCAAGATGATTGCCTGAACCCAGGAGTTTGAGACCAGCCTGGGCAACTTGGCGAGACCTCATCTCTAAAATAAATAATAAAAATTAGCAGGGTGTGGTGGCACTTGCCTCCAGCAACTTGGAAGGATGAGGCAGGAGGATCACCTGAACCCAGCAGGTTGAGGATGGAGTAGCCGTAGTGAGCCTGCCACTGCACTCCAGCCTGGGCATCAGAGTGAGACTCCAACTCAAAAATAATAATAATAATGATAATAATAACCCATTTGCTGGCAAATCTGAGCCAGTGAGCCTGGTCTACAATGGCTGTTTATGGGATGTCCTGGGATACTAATATCGTATGTTACATCTACATTTAACTATTTGGGTGAGGCTCCATGACCTTTTCCCCTTCTTCCTCACAGTCTGTGGGAGGAAATCCTATATGAATTGTATTATTTCATAGTAACATTTCTCATGTAGACTATGTAAATTACTAACCATATAAACCTTTAGTGAGAGATTTTAGTAATAATTTGCTTGTAAAAATCTAATTTAACTATCATTTTTAGGTATTTACTACCAGGAAGTACCCAATTCTTCATGAGAACACCAACCTACAACCTGAAATACAATTCACCTGGAATGACTCGCTCCAATGTTTTGTTTACATCCAGATGCGGCCATTTGTGAAACAGAAAGGAAGATTTCCATGAGTTATATATAATAGCAATTCATTTTTTTCCCCTCAAGTTGAACATGCAAAGAAAGTGACCATTAAGTGCTGTTTTATGTATATAAGACATTTATGTGTGAGAATATTTACACACATGCACTCAAATAACATATATATTTATTATAATATATGAAAGAAGAATTAGCAGAAAATTGAATATAAGACTTAAACTTTCTGGAAATGTAATAAACCATGTTAAAATTGTTTACACAAATATGTGAATGTCTAGACTTTGCTAGGTTTATAATTAATTCCTTCCTACTAGAAATGTTATTTTTGCTGCGGAGTATATAAAACAATTTATCTTGAAGATCCCATTACAGTGCTAAATTATTTTCTAGATAACATGCCTTTTGACTTGAAAAGGGATTAATAGTATAATACTTTATTAATTCTCATATGTAGTAACCATTTAAAATGAAAAAATATTTAAAGCCTGGTGTTGCTTGGTGATAGGATTAAGTAAAAAAAAACGGGTTTATTATTACTATAGCACACTGTAAAGTACTAGAAAAATCCATAACCTGATTCTCTGACATTTTTATTCCTCTGTGTGGAAATTTAGCAACTTGTAAAGATGTGCATTTTCAGTAGGGATTTGGTAAGATCATATTATGATCTAAAATGGAAGACAATCCAGTGGGTTAAAAATGCAAGTAAACTAGCTTTTATATTTACTTTTCATAAGGAGTCACATAAAGGAACAAAAAATGTTGGTAATAACAAGATCTTTCTATATGATTTTTGTCTCATACCACTCATTTTTATTTGGAAAGTATATCTTTGATGGCTTTAACATGTAGTTAAATACAATTTCTTCTGTTTTGGAGAAGTAGAAGAGAGAACATTTCAAACTCATTTTGGTGTTGTAGGGTGTTAAGTCACCCTTATTTTTATAAATCTCTCAAGGTTAAGACCAACTTAGATTGCAAAATCTAATGCAGTAGTTTCTCATTGCACCATAATAATACTTTAAATGATTGTTAATAGAAGATTCCAATTACTGCATACTACTAGTCATCAATGTACCCTTGGGAGGTTTTTAAGAATCAAAACAGAATACGAAGTTTTCTTCCTAACCAAAGTTATTATGCATAAGTTTTATAGCAATTTACTTTCTTTTCTTGAAGAGTTTTCAAAATAGTGAATGAGTGTTCAATTTTCTATAAAACTATAAATGGCACTATCATTGACACTGAAATCTTCAGAAAGTATAATATTCACTTTTTAGAATTTATTTAAACTTCTTCTCCCAATAGTTTTATTTTCCCACAGATGCTAATTATTTTCAAAATTCATGATTTTTTTCACCTCTTTTTACTATCCTAAAAGCTATTTCCAGTAAATCAAGAAATGGCCCCAAAGCAAGAGAACCGAGAGGGTCAAATTGGCCTGGTTTAATTCACAACCTGAATTGTAGGCAGTCCAAAGTTGTAAGTTAGTTGTAGCTTGCTTTTTAAGCCATCTTCTGAATTTGTGTTGGGCTGACATAGTTTGTTTCTTTCCTAAATTATTGCTAACTACTTCATTCTTTATGACTACCTAACATCCACATTTCAGTAGATACTTTTCCTTGCTAGACTCAACCCAAAGAATAATTTACTATTACCTTTGTAAAAGAAGAGGATAGGATATCAGAATGAAGGAAATTACAGTGTAGTATTTATGACTCTATTTTGTGAATTCTTAAGTATGTTACAGATTTCTTGGAATAAATAATGCAATAATTTGGATATTACAAAATCACTATAAGAATGGCCAGCAAGTAAGTCTTTCATGGAGTATTTCTAGTCATTTTTCTTTTACATTCATATGTATTGGTCACAAAGGAGACACAATAATAAGTCTCTGGTATATGATATCAACCCAGTTTGTTGGCCACTCATTTGCATTAGCTTAAATCACAAATGGTTACTTAATTTGCTAGAGTGTGCGCTTTGAAACTTCTGCCCTTGGTTGTACAAAACTGACATTTTTATTTAAAATAAAAGTGTTTAACATTGGAAGGAACCCTTTCCCTAGAAAACACACACACACACACACACACACACACACACAATTTAAAAACCAAGAGGAGACCTAAATGTAGGAAGCTATCCAAAAAACTGAAGAAAAACTTCATTTCTCTAGTTACTTAAGTCTGGCCTTATTTTGAGTGCTAGAATTTTATTGCCCACATTTGCCTATTTAAACTGATCTAGTTTGATATGATGAAGTTGTGAATAAAAGCCATGTACTCATTATTTATATATACTATCTGGTATGCTGTGGACTATGTTGTAGTTGCTGTTGTGTTATTCTCTAATGAGCAACTAGGAAGAGAAGACACAATAAACCATGGAAGTCTCGAGAGACCACAGAATTGTCTTAGAGGTATAAAATACTCCTTAGTTTTTATTATAAATTTTTTATTCATAGGGTTAGAACATAGTAGCATAAGTGATAGTACAGGTTTGACTCTCTCTTCTAAGAGAGAAAATAGATTTATCTGAAAAACTCCAGAAGCCACTTAATCTTACCAGAAGTTTTAAATAGGGAATTTGGTTTACTTATAATGAAAGCATGTTTTCATTCTGATATATATATATAAATTCCTGCTCATTCCATTCAGTGAATCTAAGATTGGAATGCTTTCCAGAACTTCTTAAGATTGTGATAATTTCCAGAACTGTATACGAAACAACTTTTTTTATTTTAAATCATCACTTACAAACATAATCTGAGACTACAAATTAGTTTTCACTCGAGTAATCCAGCATTGTAGATTAGTTACCATTTGCTTTATGTAATCTGTTGAAGAAACTCTTGTGACTCATATTTTAACTAGTTTTACTGGTGGTAAATTTTATTTTACTAACATTTAACTTATATTGGATATGTTAAAATGAAGTTGCAACAAGATCAAATATGGAAATGGCAATGGTAACCTCTACCTAGAACATAGTTGAATGTTCTTGGTTATCTATAAGATGCAAAGATTTACTCAAATTTTTATCAAATGTCAAAATCAGGTCTAAACACACAAAAAGTTTCAACTAGTTTCTCCTCCCTAAAACTAAAGCCAAACCAAAGCCAAACAAAAAACCACAGATAATAGTGGCTTCTAGACGTCAAGAAAGGAATTTTATTTTAATTATCTTTTTAATTTGTAAAGTATATATGAGTATGAAATTTTGTTATTTAACTTGAAATTTCAGACGTTTGAATATAAATTAATCCAAATACTTTCTTCTTTAGCATGTCAAAGTAATTGTTTTAGAATTCTGTTTAAATCTAAACATATGCATTACTCAATATTTTCAAAAGTACCAAAAGATTGATAGCTGTATAAATGCCATTATTTGATTTTCTATAAAGCACTGACTCATTCTTATTGTATATTCTTTAAAAAAGATAGCAAATACCTCAAGAGTGACAGAATCTGTTCCTTTCCTGTTCTGTAATGCTAATTTACATTTTGAGTCTTAATTTACTTGGTTCGAAGGGTTAAACAATAAAAAATATAACTGTACAATTGTGTTCCTATGACCTGATGATTTTTTGGAAAATGTGTTGTTCTTTTTAAATTAAGAAATTTAAGTTCTCAAGAGCCATATTAGTTATCTGAATACTTGGAGCTAATGTTGACTTGTAAATAAATTAAAAATTTAGAAATACATTTGTGATGAAAATTTTATTCCTTAAACTGCTTTTTCTTTCTTTACTTTTTTTTAGTTCAGCGTTCCTTTTGAAGTTTTGACCATTATGTAGACAAATCAAGAGAAGAGAAATTCTGCCTTTTATTTTTATTTTTTTATTTTTATTTTTTGTAATTTACATTTTTTTTTTTTTTTTGAGTTGGAGTCTCACTCTGTCACCCAGACTAGAGTGCAGTGGCTGCTCCTGGCCACTGCAGCCTCGACCTGCTGGGCTCCGGCGATCCTTCTGCCTCAGCCTTCCGAGTAGCCGGAATTACAGGCGCGCGCTATCATGCCCCGCTGATTTTTTGATTTATTGTAGAGATGAGGTCTCGCTGCCCAGGCGGGTCTCGAACCCACGGGCTCAGGCAATTCACTCATCCTCAGTCTCCCAAAGGCGCGGGATTACAGGCTGAGCCACCGAGTCCGGCGAAATTCTGCCTTTTAAACACTGGCTTTCCTTTCACTTTATGGTAGTGTGGTTTGCCTCAGCGACAACATAGATAAAATATGTTATTGGATCAAGTTGTTTGCTGAGATTTTTAAGAACCAGATTTACATCTTTATGCCTAAAAAGCATTAATTGTCTGGATCCATATAAAGCAAGATACATGGCTACAAATAGCAATCTTGCATCCAAATTGGTATATTGAAATTTATTGTACATTTTGAGATTGCTGCCCTCTTTTGGTGGTTTTTTAATTTTTATTTTTTGCCTTGTCTTAAATGGGTATAGGTATATCGAAAGAAAATTACTCAGGTAACACATTCTGCATTACTGGGCTATATCACCTACAAAGAGCTACATAAACCTTTCATTTGCTCCCTACCTACTAACTTGAAAGCTGTTGGCAAAAAAATCAATAAATAGACCAATAGATCCTAAATTAGTAAGAAGGCTTGCATTACAAAAGTAATTAGATAATGCTGATATTTCTGTTTCAAAGGCTAACAACATTTCTTGGTCCTGAGTGGTCCTGTTCATACAATAACTATTGTACATGCTACAATATCTGAATATTAATGGATTCGCTGAAGATTTGGGTTTGAGGATTCACTTGAAAGCAATACATTTGCTAACATGAATCATGATTCAAATTGTCCCCATGTGCTTTACTACCTGTATATGAATGCAAATGTTGTTACAGAAAATATGCTTGAAATGTCAACACCGTGTGCAATTAGCCTTGCATTGTTATGCTTCAGCATGTTATATCTGTATGGTGAAATTATTTCAATTACTCAGATATGTTACTATAATAAAAAATTTAGCACAAGAAAGCTACAATATGTCATCAAATGCTTATTTCTGTTTTAGACACACACACACACACACACACACACACACACACACACACACAGATTTTTTTTTTTTTTGTAAGAGATTGGTTCCCAATTAAGCTTTCAGGATGATGAGATATATTTTCCAGTAATTTCTCCTGTACAGACAGCAATACCACTCTGGGGGATAACTTTACCTGCTATTAAAGTGAGGTCAAGTAAACAAAATTGACGTCAACTCCTCTCTTAGATAGCTGGATGGCAGACTTCTAAATTTAAAATGACATGTTTATGTCTTTCTAGCATCATAAATTATAACAACAGTATTACCTGATTGGAATTACGTCAGCAT